CCTTGTCACCTGCAATACCTTGATCAATCTCATCATCAGCATCTTCCTCAACAGCAGCATCATCAGCATCAGCAGCATTATACTCATCAGCATCAGCAGCCACAGCAGCAGCAACATCGCCATCATCAGCATCCGCCTCATCATCATAATCAGCAGCATCATCATCATCAGCAGCAGCAGCAGCAGCCTCTTCAGCATTGCCATCATCACCATACGCATATGTCACAGCTGCAGTCGCGTGATCATGGTCACCAGCATCACCATCCACATCATCATCATCATCATCATCATCACCACCATCCTCATCAGCATCATCATGAGCATCATCATCAGCAGCCGCAGCAGCACGATCAGCATCATCTTCGTCAGCACCATTAGCATCATCCATCATCCATCATCATCATCATCAGCAGCATCCCAATCAAAGCTCCTCATCATCCATCCTAAATGGAAACGCCCAGAAGCCTTGTGGAGCGTCCTCTCCGAGACTCATCATCATCATCATCAGCAGCATCATCATCATCATCATCATCATCATCATCAGCATCATCATCATCATCATCAGCATCATCATCAGCATCATCATCAGCATCATCATCATCATGATCATCATCATCATCCTCTTCATCGTCATCCTCCGCCTCCTCCGCCTCTTCCTCCTGTTCCCCTTCCTCCTCCTCATTCATCATCATCATCATCCTCCTCCTCTTACTAATATTTCTCCTCCTCGACCTCATCCTCCTCCTCCTCATGCTCCTCCTTCTCCTCCTCCTCTTCCTTCTCCTCCTCCTCCTCTTCCCTTTGCTCTTCCTCCCTTCCCTCCTCTCCCTCCTCCTCCTCTTCCTCCTTATCTTCCTCTTCCTCCTCAAGCTGGAATCGGCGATAGCGAATCCGCACGATGTTGGGCGGGGTGGTCAATCGGGCCACTTATCGGATATGAAAGTCCACCCTAACGTCTCCCTTGAAAAAGGTAAGATGATTCACTGTTTCCCACAGCCCCCCCCTATGCTCTATCACATCATGTTTGTTTCACGCCTCCCAACATCAGGCAGCGTCTACAGCGACGGTTCCAGCCTTCCTGTTTGGATGAGGCCCTGGACTTTTCTCCTGGGTGACTGGGCCCACAAGATGGCCTGTCCATCAGGCGGCCTGGACGGCAAGCTCCTGCGAAAGCTCCTCCCTCCTCCTCCTCCTCCTCCTCCTCCTCCTCCTCCTCCTCCTCCTCCTCCTGGGGGCGCCTCCCTGCGCGGAACGGTGTAGTCGACGTTGTATTCGATCACCTCCTCGTGGAAAAAAATCTCCGTCGGGCCCGAGATGTACATCGGAGTTACTGCCGGCTCTGGCCGAAGAACTAGCTTCGGCATATCCACCGTCGGAGGGGCTAGCGTCTCCTCGATGACCACGTCTCTCTCCTGGACCTCTGTGTGCGTCTGCCTGAACTCGACCTTCTGATGGACCGTGACCTTGGGCACGTTGACCTTCGTGATCTCGGGATAGAGACTTACGTCCAAGCATTCCTCCCTGTGGTCCACGCATACCTCGTGGGTCTCTGTGGCCTCGATGACGTTGACGCGCGGGACCTCTCTCGTGACCGTGTGGACCTGGTGCTGCGGAACCTCCACGACGATGGGGTGGTCCTAAAAGCTCCCCCCTCTTTCACCAAGGACAGCCACCGAACAGTAGCTGTATGCCTGAGGTGATTCAACCACGTGGCTTGCTTCCGTGAAAAGAGATACAGGCACGCAAGGAGGGAGAGGAGAGAGAAGGAGGACGAGGAGGAGGAAGAAAAGGAGGAGGAGGAGGAAGAGAAGGAGGATATAGACGAGAAGAGGCAAGAGGAGGGTGGTCCTGAATGTCCACCACCTCCACGGATGTCTCTACGAGGTTAGGGCTGACCACCTGCGGGTCCCTCGGTATCGAGGGCTCCCTCGCGACCACAGGCTCTCGGTAAGCCACCGGCTCGGTGATGACCTGATGTGTCCTCACGGGCTGTTGGTAAGCCACCGGCTCGGTGATGACGTGCTCCGTCCTCACGGGCTCTTGATAGATCGACACTGGCTCGGTAATGACCGACTGTGTCATCGCGGGCTCTCGAGCTACGTGCGTCATGACTGGATACCTGCCGACCCCTGGATCGATCACACGCCTCGGCGAGAACCTGCCAGGCGTTGGGTCGTCAACGGTGAGCTCCCTAATGGTCGGGGACGTGCGCCTGATCGTCCCGGATTCGATCCCCTCTCGCATCATCCGCTCGCGCAGGTACATAGCGGTGTCGCTGAAGCCGCCCATGTCGCGGTCACGCTCCGACTCGGCCAGCTCCAGCAGCGTTTTGCCGCTGTAGTTCCGCCAGCGCGACCACTCGTCGTACTGGTGATCCGACAGGATCCTCCGCAGGCCCTCCACGTTGTCCTCCTTCACCATCTTGAACGCCTCCCACTTGTTCCTCTCCGCGCGCGCCATCGGCCAGCTATCAAGAAGGCTTCGGGCTGCGCGCAGACAGCTCCCGGGGGTGGCCTCGGGCGGCCCCTCGCAGGCCCGGGCGGGGGGCCCCGAGAGGCCGAAGACCGCCAGAGCCCTCCCGCCGTGACTTCTGCTCGCAGGGAGGGCAGTCTGGGAGCCCTCCCGAAGGGCTGCCGAGCGGGAGCTCCCGGAGATCCGACGTCACGAAGCAGAGATCGCAACGCCGCCTCAGAGCCCAAGACCCCCTCTGTCTGCGGCATCTGTCGAGCCGGAGCGATCTGCAATGGCCGCGGGGCCCGAAGCTGGCGAAAACGCCCAGTGCGAAAAAATCGCAACGCCAGGATCTCAGAACGTCGCGATTTTTCATAACGTGGACCCCCAAAGGTCTCGACCCCTTCCCCGGGAAGGGATCTTCATCCTGCGTGTTTCTGCTGTCGGTCCTGGGGCCTGCCGAGGGCCCCTGGAGACAACCCCTGGCTCGCGGGGCCTCCAGAAGCCTTGCCGAGCGGGAGCTTGGCGAGGAAGCCTCGGCGGCGAGCGACACCCCTGAGCCGCGCCACGGCCTCGGGGGTCGGCAGTGGCACCAGAGGTCCGAACGTCGGGGCGCGGGCGCGGCGGCGGCCGAGGAGCCGTGCGAGGAGCAGCGGGGAAGGGCGAGGAGGAGAGGGGAGGGGGGGGGGAGAGGAGGAGGGAGGGCGCAGGGAGGGCAAGGATGAGAAGAGAAGGGGGAAGAAGGAGGGCGGAGGAGGAGGAGGTGGGGGAGGAGGAGGAGGAGGTGGGGGAGGAGGAGGAGGAGGAGGAGGAGGAGCGAGGAGGAGAAGGGAGGAGGGAGGAGGGAGGAGGGAAGAGGGAGGCTCGCTCAGGTGCTGGCAGCGGCGTGCGACTGCCAAAGGGGGGCGGGCGCCCCCTCGTGCCGCAGCTGCGGCAGCGGAAGGGCCGAACGGAAGCCGCACTGGCTGGCGCCGGCGTCTGGTCCGATTTCAGCTCTGAGAACTTGAGCGCGCTCCATTCTTGGGAAAGAGAAGAGAAGAACGAACATCCCACCGATCGCTTTCACAGGCGGCGCGTAACCGAGGCTGCGTGAGACAAGCGAGATGCACAGTCACGACTCGGGAACAGGTGCGGAGCTTCGGCCACGTCCGCAGGACAGAGCGTGCGGGCTGCGCATGAGTGTCAGAACTTGAGCGCTCATGAATATTTTTATATCATTCGCGATGGCTCCCGTGGCCAGCCCCGCCCTCCCCCCTCCGACCCTCCCTTGGGTCACGTCACGACTCGCGCCGGCGCCATCTGGGAATTTTTGTCCATTCCTACATAAGCATTCCCAGACGGCGCCGACGCGAATCGTGACATCACCAGCCCCCTCATCCCCTTCCCCCCGCGAGTCACGCCGGTGATCGCCAGAGGGTTAAAAAAACAGTCTCCATGCCCCTTCTGGAGCCGCCGCCTTCAAATGCCGTCTGCTTTCCGAAGTCGCTTCACGGTCAGCAGCGTTTGTTGTTTCCGAGCGTCGCTTGGGCTCCGTGTCCAAATCTGAAGGGGCGAAAGCTTAAACAGGCGAAGAAAAAAAGCGCCCAAACCCGTATGCGAGACAACTAAAGTACCTGACGAATTGATCCACATCCTCCATTTCTCCCTCAACCTCCTCCTGCACATCCTGCTCATCCTCTTCACTATAATCGGCAATAGCGACATCATCATCAGAAAAACTATCGCCGCCATTGCCATCGTCATCATCTGCATCATCAGCATCGTCATCGTAATCGCTACCACTATCAACCTCAATCTCCCCCCCTCAACAACGCACGCGTGCGGCGGCGGAGGCGTTGTCATCGTCGTCGCCGCCGTCGTCGTGAACAGAGGATCGAGGCATCAGAGTTGAAGGGAGCGAGGATGGGCATATGTGGCCCTTACCTGGGCCTCCTCTTCCTCCTCCTCGCCATCAACCGCATCCTCATCAGTCGTCAACATCATCGTCATCATCATCATCACCACCATCATCAACCTCCTCCTCCTCATCCTCCTCATCATCATCGCCATCATCGTCATCATCATCCTCATCATCACCATCATCACCATCATCATCATCATCATCATCATCATCATCATCATCATCATCATCATCATCGCCATAGTCATCGCCATACTCATCATCCTCGTCGTTGTCTTCGTACTCATCGCCATCGTCCGCCACTGCATTCCAGCGGCGGCCTTGGCGCCAGCCTTGGGCACGAGGGCTCCGGCCGTCTCCCCGCGGGTCGGCTGCAGATCCTCAAGGGGCGGAGGGGCGAGCGCCGCATCCTCCACATCATCCGCCGCATCCTCCAGGGGCGGAGGGGAGACCGCCGCATCCTCCTCGTTGTCCTCCTCCTCGAAGTCCTCCTCCTCCTAATCCTCCTCCTCGTTGTCCTCCTCCTCCTCCTCCTCCTCCTCCTCCTCCTCCTCCTCCTCCTCCTTCTGCTCCTCCTCCACATCCTCCTTGTCCTCCTTGTCCTCCTCCTCCTCCTCCTCCTCCTCCTCCTCGCTGTCCTTATCCTCCTCCTCCTCGCTGTAGTACTCCTCCTCCTCCTTCCTCCTCCTCCTCGTTATCCTTCTCCTCCTTGTCCTCCTCCTCTTCCTCCTCCTCCTGCTCCTCCTCACCATCATCATCATCATCATCATCATCATCATCATCATCATCATCATCATCATCATCATCATCATTATCATTATCATCATCGTCGTCGTCGTCCATCATCATCACCACCACCACCATCATCCTCACCATCAGCATCATCATCATCGTCATCGAAAGCATCAGCATCATTGGTATCAGTATCATCATCAGCGTCATCAGCGTCATCAGCATCATCATCATCATCATCATCATCATCATCATTATCATCATCGCCATCATCAGCATAATCATCATCGTCATCATCATCAACATCATCATCATCAACATCATCATCATCATCCTCATCAAAATCCTCATCCTTATCCTCAAACTCATCCTCATACTCAGCCTCATCCTCCTCCTCCTCCTCCTCATCCTCATCTTATTCCTCATCCTCACCACCACCACCACCATCATCACCAACAGCACCATAACCAGCATCATCCTCATCAGCAGCAGCATCATCATCAGCATCATCATCATCAGCAGCAGCATCATCATCATCCTCTTTGTCCTCGTCCCTCTCCTCCTCAAACTGCTGCATAGTCAAATAGTGCTCATCACCACGATTGTTACCAGCATAATCAGCATCTATCTTTATAAGCATCATCATCAGCAGCAGCAGCTCAATCATCATCATCATCATCATCATCATCATCATCATCATCAGCATCATCATCATCATCATCATCATCATCATCATCATCATCAGCATCAACATCATCATCACCATCATCATAGTCATAAACATCATCATCATCATGATCAGCGGCATCATCATAATCATCATCAGCATCACCAGAAGCAGCCGCAACATTATCGTCATCATCATGATTCATGTCGTCAGCTTCATCATCCTCACCAGCACAATAATTATTGTGTTCAACGTCGTCCGAGCCAGCGCCGCCGTCGCCGAATCCGTTGTCGCTGGCATCACACTAATGAATATAATCATCAGCATCACACTAATGAATATAATCATCAGCATCATCATCATCATAATCATCATCATCAGCTTCATCATTATCACCAGCATCATCATCAGCATCCTCATTGCCAGCAGCATGGTCATCATCATCATCAGCATTATCATTATCGGCATCGTCACTATCATCATCATCATCAGCAAGAGCATCAGCATCAGCATCATCAGCAGCATCATAATCATCAGTATCATCAGCTTTAGCATGATCACGATTGCCATCATCATCATCATCATCAGCAGCATCATCATCATCAGCATCAGCAGCATCATCATCAGCATCAGCACAAGCATCATCATCATCATCATCATCATCATCATCATCATCATCATCATCATCATCATCATTATCGATGTCGGCATTAGCATTATCAGCGGAAACATCATCCTGAGCATGTTCCTCATCATTAGCAGCATCAGCATCATCATCAGCAGAAGCGCCTTCATCATCGGTGGCTCCATCATCCTCACTGTCATCGTCAGCATCATCATCATCAGCATCAGCAGCAGCAACAGCATCATCATCAATAGCATCATCGGCATCATTATCACCATCATCATCATCATCATCATCATCAGCGTCGTCATCATCATCATCATGATCATCATCATCATCATCATCATCATCATCATCATCATCGTCATGATGATCATCATCATCATCATCATCATCCTCATCATCGTCATCATCATCATCATCATCATCATCATCATCCGCATCCTCACCATCCTCATCATCATCAGCAGCAGGAGCATAATCATCAGTAGCAGCATCATCCTAATCAGATTCCTCATCATTAGCAGCATCATCCTCACAAGCATCAGAATCGTCGTCTTCATCATCAGCACTATCATCATCATCATCATCATCAGCATCATCAGCAGCTCATCAGCATCATCATCATCGTCATAATCATCATCAGCATCATCGTCGGCAGCATCGTTTTCATCATCATCAGCATCATCAGCATCATCAGCAGCAGCAACATCATCACCATCATCACCACCACCACCACCACCATCATCATCAGCATCATCATCATCATCATCATCATCATCATCATCATCATCATCATCATCATCATCATCATCATCATCATCATCATCATCATCATCATCATCATCATCATCATCATCATCATCATCATCATCATCATCATCATCATCATCATCATCATCATCATCATCATCATCATCATCATCATCCCGAACCTCGACCGTCGCCCCCGACCCAGACATCTGGCGTCCTGATTTCCTCAATACTGGGTCCCCAGAAAAACCGACCCTTTCCACAAGCCGGGTTTTCCAACCCAAGCCGTTCTTTCAGTGCCCTAGGGCCCGACGAGGGCACCCAGAGGCCGAAAACAGCTGGAGACCTTTCACCGTGATGTTTGTTTGCAGC